GGTGTACACATACATGTAAAATAATTTTTGAAGTCTCGGGATAGTGAACGAGTGGAATGCGCTGAGAAGTGGAACAGGTAAACTCAATATATAGTTTAAAGTGTAGGTATGACAGAGCCCAGTAGGCTCTTGAATATAGTTTAAAGTGTAGGTATGACAGAGCCCAGTAGGCTCTTGAATATAGTTTAAAGTGGAGATATGACAGAGCCCAGTAGGCTCTTGAATATATTCCTCAGTGGATTAAGAGTCTCGTCCTCTGCAATTACAACTAAGTAAAAACACGCCTTCCCTTTTTGAAGACCGGTATATATAAACATAAACCATACGTGTTAATTTTCACAAGGGTGGTACTGAAATTGAAATACATTGTTTCTTAAATGTTTTTACAGTTATAGTTGGGTTTATTTAAATAAATTTACATTAAATTATTTATTAAAGCTAATCCATGTAACATTATTATTATGATTTTATCTAAATATAAACTGTATACTCAAGATTTATATTTATCAACGATTTTAAAATTATTATAGATGTCAAAATCAGAATCAGTAACTGCTGCTGTTTATAATTATAAGATGCAGGTACATGAGTCTTACAGCGTAAGACCTCTGACAGGTGTGGAATCTCGTTTACTTTGAATTTGTGTAGCGAAAGCACTACTAATCAAATTTCCGATCAGCGGGCGGTACGAGAACAACTAGTTTTATATATTAATATATTCTCCAAATTGAGAGAGAGAGAGAGAGAGAGAGAGAGAGTGTGTGTGTGTGTGTGTGTGTGTGTGTGTGTGTGTGTGTGTGTGTGTGTGTGTGTGTGTGTGCGCGGTGTTAGTGAGCCCTTATTACCGGCTTCTTATTCCATCCGGCGTGGCGGCTTTACATTTTATCCGGTGTGGCGGCTTCTTCTTGCTCCATCTGGTGTGGCGGGAAGTCAAGGTGCCGGTCGCCTGGGGCTACTACTCTATATTCGGATCAACACTTGCTGGCTCACGCTTGTGTTACAATGTACCACCGGATCACAATCATTATGATGTTGAAATCTTTACTGATTTATCTTAAAGCAGGTACAACTCGCAATCATTGTGCCTTCCAGTGAAAATCATTGTAATTGTTATAACATTATTTTTTAAACTTTAATATCATTAATTACTTTTTAAAATGTGAAACACATGCATATGCTAAAATCATTCATACTTAAAAATATATTAGTGTCATATTGGATATTAATTTTTGAAAACAAATATCGTAGAACAAAACGTTGCGCATTTAAACAGTGAGCTAAACTTCAGATATAATTACCAAACACAAAATACAATTATAACACGTAAAATAAAGAAAAAAACTCCATGAAAATAATACACTATTGCAGTCCTTCCCCAAAGATGTAGATCCATACATTAATATTTCTCATAAGAAGTACAGTACAACCTCGATTCAACAAACTATATAGGGCATCCCAACTCGTTGCAGTGAGGGATTCGTTGCAACCGGAGATGCCTCTAGGAAGCATTTCCCACACCCAATTGGCAGATTTCGTTTTGCGAAATTTTAATTTCAACCTATAATATAATAGACAACTACCAAGCGAACATGTCTGCAAAAACATTTAACCGCATCTTGCTTATTTATCACGTTTCCATCTTCAAAACTTATTTTCTGAAGGTAGCAGGGCAATATCTGAATGAACGAAAACTTTGCCAATTGAAAATAAAAGCAAAACCATGGAATTTGGTTTTAAATATCCTTATAGCTGTCCTAAGGCTCTAACTGTCTCTTGTAATGATAAATCTACAAAAATCATCAAAACCTTGGATTATAAGCATGTTAATTGAGTTATTATTCATACCCTAATATTCCTCACACTCTGTGGGCTAATTTCACCATCGAAATTATAATTACAACCTATCATAAGAAGGGCAACAGCCAAGAGAACCTGCCTGGAAAGGATTTAACATATTAACATCTTAACATATTAACATCTTAATATATTAACATCTAGCATATTTTCCACGCCCAAACCTCGACATTTCATTTTAAAGGGAAAAAGGGTCATATTTTACTGATCAAAAACCTCTGCAAATGGAAAAAAAGAGCTATAGAATTGTTGTTATTTAAACGTACAGTACTATGTATTCTAAATCGGTATATATAAAAATTTAAAGTTATTTATTTTATTTATTTATTTATATACAAGAAGGTACATTGAGTTTGTGAGAATACATAGCATGGTATTTACAATCTTGTAAAGCCACTAGTACGCGCAGCGTTTCGGGCAGATTAATATTATTATTATTATTATTATTATTATTATTATTATTATTATTTCGCATATAGTTAGGCCGAGATTAGGCGTTTTGGTTCTTTGAAATTTATTTGTATTTCGGCTGGATTTGAACCAAGGAAGAGAGAGAAACAATGTTAGAGTAAAGCTCACGCGCCATATAAACAAGGGATTAGGCGGCTGGATTAATATTCTTTTGGCCATTGTTTATGCGGACCGGATGCTTAAAATTGATGAATGTGTAGGTGGGTTGACCGACGGTTGGACGAGCCTAGCCTGAGGACAGGTGAAATCTCGCATCTTAAGTACTTCACCTAGATACTACAGATATAAATAATTGTCAATATAAGCTAAACATTTAACATAACCTTATTAAGTCCTAACTATACACCAATACATAACAATGTCAAATTATTATAATCAGTATGATGAGTAAAAATATATATATACATCTTCAAATTATTTAAAATGCCTGATGTTTTAGTCTTAAATTCCATCACAAGTGTTAAAAAGAGAATATTTTCATCGCAAAATTTGCTATTCTCTTTTTAGCACTGATGATGGAGTTGAAGACTCCGAAACGTCTGGTATCTTAAGTAAATTGAAGATGTGTATATATTTTCACTCATTATAATGTTTATAATAAGCTTAAAATTCCCAAGAGGAGAATTCATTTCTGAAATGTCAAATTATATATGAGAAAATACTGACTTTGAATTCCTTGTACATTAATGATGATAAATGTATCTTTACTGAGCCGTGACCATAGCCTGCTGACGGGTTGAGGAAGATCGCTGCTGGAAGTGCCTCGTTCGGCCGGCCGAGCGGACAGCACGCTGTGCACGTGATCCTGTGGTCCCGGGTTCGATCCCGGGCGCCGGCGAGAAACGATGGGCAGAGTTTCTTTCACCCTATGCCCCCTGTTACCTAGCAGTACAATAGGTACCTGGGTGTTAGTCAGCTGTTACGGGCTGCTTCCTGGGGGTGGAGGCCTGGTCGAGGACCGGGCCGCGGGGACACTAAAACCCCGGAATCATCTCAAGATAACCTCAAGATAGTCAGCTGTCACGGGCTGCTTCCTGGGGGTGGGGTGGGGTGGGGGCGTGGAGGCCTGGTCGAGGACCGGGCCGCGGGGACACTAAAACCCCGAAATCATCTCAAGATAACCTCCACGTAATATAAATACAAATGCCAACTAAAGTGAACTCCTAACATAGCCTGTCCTAGGCTTCGTTACTAATATAATGTGCGCGTCAACCATAATTGTACACCAGTGTAATATTAATTTATTTTTGATAATACAATTTTTATTTCATTGTATGAAAAATATAATAAATACTCCTTTGGGAGCGATAGCTGGATTGGAGAGCCTGATTTAATGATAAGATGCTTCTTGGTAATTTTGTCCTTTGTCTTGTTAATTACGGAAGGGAAGGGAATTATCAAGAGGAAGCCCCAAGCCATTACGTCTCTATAGCACTTGGAAGGGGTCAGGATAAGGATTTGGGATGGGACGGTGGGGAAGGAATGGCGCCCAAACCACTTGGACGATCGAGGATTGAACACCGACCTGCATGAAGCGAGACCTTCGCTCTATCGTCCAGTTCAAGTGGATGGGCGCGGAACAGAGACGTGTTTTTAATCATTGTGCTGGAATATATTGTACACTTGTATAACAAATGACCGACAAAAGGCATACCTCTTTAATGTAACGAGTATTGGTTATCCGAGTCGTTAATGGCCTAGAAACCGCAGGGATGATGCATGAACTGCCATTACAAGACTAAATCGATTGTACCATCCACACTGAACACAATAAGCGCCAATAATGAGGTCTGAGCCACAATTGTTGACGTGGGCTCGACGGCTGCTGACGGGATATTGTTTGTTACTCCCACTGATCTGAACTCGCAAGTTTGGGACGCAAATGTAATTCAATTTAATGCTAACAGTTAAAATGGTTTTAAGGTTATGAGCATTTGCCATGAATAAAATACTAGAGACAGGATGGTCTGGAGACTGGTATTACTTGATCAGCAGTTACCTCTGGTGTGTCCTAGGGCCTCCCTGCTCCAAACACACCCAACAAGACTTGATCCATTTCTCGTACCAGACTTTTAGCTTCACCATATATCACATAGGTAAGACCCACCACTTACGGGCTATTCATGACCGTGCCACCTTTTGGGTAGCTTAATCTTTATCAATCAATCAATAGGTAAAACTGAGTCCCCCATGCTAACAAGAATGCAAGAATGACTTAAGTATTGTAAGTAAACATTCATGTGTCTTAGGACGCAGATGTCCGTTTGTTGATGGATTAAACTTGTGCGCGTATTGTTCTTGTTCTTTATCAGATTGGTATCTTATACCGAGACATCATTACACAACAGCCTTCGTCACACTCAGATGGTATCAAATCTAAATACTTGTTTGGTTGGCTTGCATGTGCAGACATGTGCATGTGCACATGCGATACGCGTGCATGTGCCCCACAATAGTTTGTTGTGGGGCAACACTGCAGTTCTCTTGGCGTTTGAATTTTCCGTCAGATAGGAAATTAGAGGATATTGTGTTATACTCGTAAATCATATTTATATTAGACTCATAAAATCATGAGTATAAATTCATATTTATGTTATACTCATAAATCATTATTTATAGCTAGTAAGATTATGTTTTAGAGTTCTTCAGTTCATCATTGTTTTATGCCTTACCAGGAGCTGTGTCCGACGACCAGAACCCACTGCGTGCCCAAGGCGTGTCAAGGTGTGTTGGGCACAGAGGAGGACAACAAGCGATGTAGCGAGGGCCAGGTTTACTGCGGCGCCCCCACAAACGCCTGCGTCAACCCCTGTAATCCCGCCAGCAAGCTGGATAACCCCTTCCCGCCCGTTCAAAGTCAGCTGTGTGGACCCAACATGATCTACTGCCAGAGGTGAAGGGGGTAGTATTGGTGTTGTTTGTTACCAAGGAAAGTTTCCGTGTTTCTGTGTAAGGAGGTGGGGGGGGGGGGAAGTATCTTCTGTTTGTGGATAATCAAGTAATTATGCCTGCAGGACCGGTATAGGTAGAGTAATAATTGTAATTAAGAAGCAATAAGATGCTTATCTTAACATACTAAGAAGGTTAGGTAAGGTCGGTGTTTTCTATGAAGCTTTTCAAGGTAAACTAAAATATTCACAATAAATTAGTATGTCACATATGCACTTATTTAATAAGTCAATATTGACTGTACGAAAGTGCGAGAACGGGTTGAGGACGGAGCGCCAGCTCTTTGGTCTCACTTTTCAGCTATTGGTCGTTAATGCTATGGCTCCTGAACCTCTACATTTCAGTAATATCTACATATGTATGGTATTATCCTTGATTACCTGCTCTCTAGTGCATTCCATTTATTCACTACTCTTACAATAAATAAATGTTTCCTTACATCACTGAGGTGGGTACTAGTTTCCACCCATGACTCGTTCTGCTATTGCAAATATTAAACGGATTATCCTTCTCTATTTTGTCATATCTCCTATTTCTTCGTCTCTTATCTGATGTAGTAAGATGCAGCATCCTCAGACTTCCCTCGCACGTAAGTCATCTCGGAACCATTGTTGCGGTACAACTCTGAACTTTGTCGTGTATTGACGCGTACTTTTTTACTAGTCACATCTTTTACTAGCCCAACATGTAGGAGTCCACATTGTCAACGTCTCTAAAACGTGTACATGCCGTGATCATTTTGCCTCTTGCCCTTCTCTCTCTCCCAGCGCGATAACGTGTAGATCCCTCAGCCTTTCCTCTTCATGTTGAGGGCTCAGTCTTGTAACAAATGTATGGAGTGTGTCTACAGTATGGGTTCAGGTACTGATCCCTATGGTATTGTTGATCCCTATGGTATCTCGTTTATCTCTTATAGTCTTTTCCCATTAGGATAGGTATTCTCTTACCTTGTTCTTTATGCTTCCAGGTACTCTATTTTTCATACGTTTATACAATAGCTTCCTGTATGGAATTGTGTCAAAGGCTTTGTAGCTGTCCAGAAAAGATGCAAGCCTGCGTTATCCTTCGCATTTTGTTATTGAACTCGGCAGGAATTTGAGACGAGGCTTCCTCGTCTGTATACCCTTGCTGAAGCTTTGTCAAAACGTGCCCTTCAGGGTGTTCCACTAGCCTTTTTATTAATGCTCTCGACCCTAATACTCACACATGTCAACAATACGGACCTGTGGTTTGGGTGCCTCCTGTCCATACCCCGTATTATATATAGGAATTGAATTCGCAGTTTTCCAGTTATCTGGTAGTTTTTCCCTTTTCTGTGAAGTATTGCAGATTATTGAATGAGGTTTACTCAGTACTTCAGCTGGGGTCCTTAAAATCAAGTGTGTAATTACTTTTGTGTAATTACCTGTGTAATTGTGTATATGTGTTGCAACATGCATATGCACAAACACGTGTAACAACAATTACAGGAGAACATATATATGTCTATGTAGATATCTGCTATATAGAACGTAATGTAAGAGAGTACTGTATGCGTGTAGTACACAATAGTACAGAAAAAGAATAGCTGTATCCTGCGTACGGGTCCAGTTGTTATTAAATCAAATTACGAAATCAACTTTTGGATTTCATCGTCTTTGGCTGTAATCTACTGTATTATTTGTAAGCCGATTTAGAGCTGCAAAAGTTACTTTGACAGTCCCATTATTAGCAATGTTTTCGCACCTGACTGTGATTTACCTATAAGTACTTACATATCAGTGACTACGGAGTGAGGTCTAGCTCTTTAAGCCCCTGTTGCGTTATAATCACATGTTCGGACGTTCGAATTCTTTGTAGAATCTGTCCTTAAAGCTGTGGATTGAGGTGGCTTCCACAACTTCTTCTTCCAGTGCATTTAATTTGTTGGCTACCGGTGCATAGTACGAGTATTTCCTTACGTGCTTTTATTTTAATTTTTGTTTATTTATTTTAATTCTCTAACCTGTGAGGACGTCATTAATGATCAAATTTAATTATGCAGATAAAATACAAACAAATTATACGTATATCTAATTCAAACCAATCGGTCCCATACATGACTATACATGACCTAGCGTGACCTAACAGTTCTGAGCCTGATGTAGCCCAGGCCTGGGTCAGGAAGCGTGACGTCACTGCATTCATTTATTAGCTTCGTATTCTGTCAGTCTCTTCCCCACGGGAGGCTCCCACCCCTTACACACACACACACACACACACACACACCACACACACACACACACACACACACACACACACACACACACACACACACACACACACGAGACATGCTACAAAATGGCTTCTAGAACTGAAAAAAAGTGTTACGAGGAGAGGCTAATGGCGTTAAATATGCCAAAGCTAGAAAATAAAAGAAAAAGATGTGATATGATCACGACTTACAAAATAATAACAGGAATCGACAAAATTGGCAAAGTGAAATTCTTGAAACCAGCAACTTCAAGAACAAGAGTACACAGATTCATGCTAAGGAAATAAAGGTATCTAAAAAAATATTAGAAAGTTTCCTTTTTGCAAACAGAGTGGCAGACGGTTGGAACAATTTAAGTGAGAAGGTGGTGGAGGCCAAAATCGTCAGTAGTTTCAACGCGTTATACGATAAAGAATACTGGGAAGACGGGACACCACGAGTTTAGCTCTCATCCTGTAACTACACTTAGGTAATTACACTTAGGTAATTACACGTAGGTAATTACACACACACAAACTGTAAATTTGATAAGAAAAAGAGTAAAAACAGCCACTACATTGAACTAATAACGGTCGGAAGGTGCGGTAGTTGAGAGCCTAATGCTCCACCCTACCTTGAGATTACCTTGAGGTGCTTCCGGGGCTTAGCGTCCCCGCGGCCCGGTCGTCGACCAGGCCTCCTGGTTGCTGGACTGATCAACCAGGCTGTTGGACGCGGCTGCTCGCAGCCTGACCCAGCCATCCTCCTGTTCTGATAGTACTTACAGTAACGATGTAGACCATCTCTCATATATTGCCGTAATGAACAATTAGAAGGTATAATTGAACAAACCGGAAAAGGTTTTATATTTGTTCCTAACCTAAATTCTAACCTAACCTAATCATTCTAGGTTTAATACATGTTTTCCAAGGCCTAATATAGTACATATATGTGCTATATTAAGCCTAGGAATGTATAAGTTTGGTTTTTAGTGTGTTTTTTTCTGGACTATAAAGTGAATAGTACCAAATTCTACGATCTAGTTGTCCATTACGTCAATATATGTGCATTAGTCGACAAAAGTTACAATATATATTATCTTAACAGAAGGATGGTTGGCTCCACCCTGCAAGCTCAACAAGGTGAGTATACACACACACACACTCACCATCACCACCATCACCACCATCGATTATCGTGTCAGAGTAGCTGCCTGTCTCTCACGTGGAGTACACCAGTAGGGAGAAGTTACAGTAACGCTGATTACAGCGTTACACTTATCAAAGTGTGCCTGTATACCGTCTTGTTGTAACTTTTTCATCTGTGTTTCAAGTTCAAGTATGTTTATTGAGACAAGAAAGAAATACATCTCAAAGGGATAGAGTAGCTTAGGCTATTTCTACCCCCCTTCATCTGTATTGTGTGGATGAAGAACTTCGCTGTTTTTGTATTACTGGGTATTATTTATCAATTGTATTATTTGTATAATGCAGATTATGAAATATTCATACTTTGTACTTCTTCAGGGTTTATGATATAATTGTATTATATATATATAAGAGCTGAGAAATGCACGACGGAGAGTGATTGCGAGACGTGGAGCGTGAAGCCTGCTGAGGTCACCTGCAAGATGGGCTACACCTTCTGCGTGGAGTGGGGCGGCTGCGTCGTGGGTAGCTGTCCCAGCCAGCAGACACGGACCTCTGTCAAGTCCTGTCCACCCGGCACTGTGAGTCTTCCTCATTGTACTTCCTCACCTGTATTATATTCACCGTTAATTGGGTCTAGCTGTAACTGTCTTCTGTAAACTAAGGTTGCTTGTGTAGTGATGAGTAGTCGTCAGATTCTCCTGTGAAGGAGCTCCTTAGTATCCCACGCCAGGGATGGCTTATGTAAATAGTTCAGTGTTTACCTCAAGATCAACACGAGCGTCAGCAGTGTGTCCCTAGCGTCTCTCTCATACGCACACGAGTATACTTTGTCATCAGTCCGAGTATGGTTATTATAATTTAATAATTTAGTAACTGGACTTAATTTAGTGACTGGAATACTGTCACGGTTGCACGTTGAATGTCGCTTTATTGGAACGAAAGAAAATAGTGTTATCTTGTTTATATGTATATTTTTAATTATTATATACGTTCATTATGGTTATCGAACTCGTTTCCCTTTCTCCATTTGATGACTGTAAAAGTATTTTCATGATAATGTTATCTGTATTTCCACGCGTAAATAATACGCCAAAAATAGTTAAATGTAGCAGTGAACTAATAACAATAAAGAAAGCTAGTAATGGTAATGTCTTCACACAGAGATAATATCATAGAATAAAAACACACAATTGTGTATTTGTGAAATTTATGTGAAGAAATTTACACCAAGTCTTTCGCAGAATAACAGCCTCATTAGACATTGAGACGTAAGTCTCTTCCTAACCACACACTCAGACCTTGACTTAGCACTCGGGAGAGTGCGAAAATCATGGTCTAAATTCCTTACATAAATTTCACAAATACACAAGTGTGGGGTTTTATCCTAATAAAGAAAGCACAAAGACATTTGTTCAACACATACAACGCTGAAATGTAGATTTAAAACGATGAGGCGTTTGTATGCGCAAAACTGCAACAGTGCTGGAGTTTGGTGTTTCATCTTTGTGGACATTGTCACACCGGGCTGACTTTGTCTTGTCTGAACACCCTCACCTCTTGCCTTTAGTGTGTGTGTATATATATATATATATATATATATATATATATATATATATATATATATATATATATATATATATATATATATATATATATATATATATATATATATACAATATTATATGTATCATACACACTGGAATTACTTACGTAATACCCAAATCTTTTATTTCAGCGATGGAATAATATTTGTAAATTGCCAGGTCAATTATACTTGTGTGGTGAACTGCCGGATACCACAGTATGCTGGCGGCCTCGTGTGGTCTTGATGTTGTGTTCTTGTGTGTTGTAGTGTATGTGTGCTCTGAGGCCTGTGTGCGTGTATTATTTGTGTGTGTGTGTATATTTATATGAACACTTTGTTGTTTTCTATATAACTGCATGTTGTGCCCAGTTGGGATTTAAGCACTTGGTCTACAACTAGCATGGTAGAAAGATTTGGTCAGCTATTTTACTCTCGTGTCTAAAACAAATTCTAAAAATGCATATATATATATATATATATATATATATATATATATATATATATATATAATCGAAGAGGCAGATCAGGGATGCGGTAAACTACTGGTTTATTATCTTTTCAGCGTTTTGAAGACATACTCAGCTAATATCGCAAGCCTGGTAAACATAACAATTAATATACTATATCTTAAAAAGTTTATTGAAGTTTATTGTATTAAAGATTCGATTATGCTGAAAAAAATCCTATATTAAATAAAATGATACATTTACAAAAACATGGCCCGTATACAATGTGTAAAGTAATGTAAGTGTAAACTATGGAGAACAATGAATCTGTGAACTTAAAGGTTTACAGTTGAGAGATGCACTGACCAGAAAGAATGTTGGGAAACTGCGTAAATCTTTCATTGGTTATTGTCCATCAACTAATTTTCCAGCGAATTTCGGAATGATATAAATAATGGATGGTAGTAAATATCTGGTTATTTACAAACTCAATTTTTTATAAGAGTTGTAAGCGGAGAACATGAAGTGAAGTTACCAACTGGAATATAGTGTTGCCACGAGAGCTTAACCGATCTATTATATCCTCACAATCTATCACCGACCAGTGTTCCCCCGACAGCTTAACCAGTCTAACTGTATCTTCATGATGTATTACTGGTCAGCTGTGCGATACTTAGCTTTGATGTTTGTATCAGCTGGTGAGCTGAAGTCAGTAGGAGTCACTAGGCTGGAGGACATGGAGTCAGGGTGGTCACGGAGAGGTTGACGCCGGTGGTTCCTCACCCCTTTTGTGCTTGGGTTTACCGGTCTTCATGGTATTCATTCCCAGTTTTATTCAGTGGTTAAAGGAAGAAACGAAGACATTTCTTCATATCTGATTTGTGGGTTGGCTATCAAATGTTGTTGTGGCTCATTGTCTACAACTTTTACCATGTCGTGGTGTCCATGAGAGGTAAGGTGCGCACTTGGGAGTACCCAGGTCGAGGGTTCGAATCTCCCCATTGCTCCAATTGATTTTCTCATATATCACGTTAGTGGGATTTCATTGTGTAAAAAAATATAATATACACAATGTATATAAATATATACATATATATAAATATATACTGTATATAAATATACACAATGCAAATATTACAAATATTATCTAATTGCATATGAAGATATTGAAGTAAAATAACTGATAGATGAACAGGGATTTATATATATATATATTTTATTTTAACCCAATGTGTGGATATTAGTAAAAAAAAAAAGGTTGGGAGGTGTAAGGGTTTCATAATAACTAAAGAAAAGGCCTGAAATAAACGATAGTGTTACTGTACTCCTCTACAGTGATACGGCCCAAACTTTTATATAATAAAATAAAATTTAATGTACATATAATTTATATACAGTATGTATTATTATTGTTGTCATTATTTTGTGTATTCACATTAATATTGGTAGAAATACATAATGTTTTGTGTAAATATCACCAATTTATTTAAAGCTTCTTGTAAACAACGTTTAACACTGAAAATGTTAAGTAGTGTGCTTAAGCACAGCTGAGCTTGACATGGAATGAATTGTACAAATTTGTCCATGTTCTTCAGTTCAAATTTAGGCAATTTTTTTTATAAATATGCGAAGACTTACTTTTACATTTTAAAACGTTCTATATTGTTATATTTAACCAGCCTCTTGATGGGCTGTGTGTGTGCATGCCACTGGCTCCCAAACTGGGTGACATTGTCTCCTTTTTGCAATATGTAGTGGGCCATAAGTTGAGGCAGCGTACAGGTTATCATACTCAGAGAAATGGCAAGATAACATAATCAAATTTATGTTGCTAATTTTGTTTAATACTAAATATAAGGGCTATCAATAAGGACGCCCTGTGAAACAAATGGGTAATGCCAGGAAAGAGTTTAGGAACCACTGGTGTGTCCGACACGTTGAGAAGAGAATGAGCAGTGGTTAATAGTATCCTTAATCTTCCTCTTCTTAAACCTCTTTTCCTTAAACTTGTTAAAATTATCCTTAATCTTCCTCTTCTTAAACCTCTTTTCCTTAAACTTGTTAAAATTATCCTTAATCTTCCTCTTCTTAAACCTCTTTTCCTTAAACTTGTTAAAATTATCCTTAATCTTCCTCTTCTTAAACCTCTTTTCCTTAAACTTGTTAAAATTATCCTTAATCTTCCTCTTCTTAAACCATCTTTTCCTTAAACTTGTTAAAATTATCCTTAATCTTCCTCTTCTTAAACCTCTTTTCCTTAAACTTGTTAAAATTATCCTTAATCTTCCTCTTCTTAAACCTCTTTTCCTTAAACTTGTTAAAATTATCCTTAATCTTCCTCTTCTTAAACCTCTTTTCCTTAAACTTGTTAAAATTATCCTTAATCTTCCTCTTCTTAAACCTCTTTTCCTTAAACTTGTTAAAATTATCCTTAATCTTCCTCTTCTTAAACCTCTTTTCCTTAAACTTGTTAAAATTATCCTTAATCTTCCTCTTCTTAAACCTCTTTTCCTTAAACTTGTTAAAATTATCCTTAATCTTCCTCTTCTTAAACCTCTTTTCCTTAAACTTGTTAAAATTATCCTTAATCTTCCTCTTCTTAAACCATCTTTTCCTTAAACTTGTTAAAATTATCCTTAATCTTCCTCTTCTTAAACCTCTTTTCCTTAAACTTGTTAAAATTATCCTTAATCTTCCTCTTCTTAAACCTCTTTTCCTCAAACTTGTCAGGCTAGCTGGCGTTACTCGGGTGACGGAGACCATTGTACACGACCATTATTCCTCATTGTACACTATCTTCATCGCTAGAACATTTCACACGGACATCATTACTGTAACTATATGTACTCTACACGCTGTCGCCATCTTCACTAACACATCATCGTCATTGCCGGAACCATCGGCACTACACACGACCATCCTTACTGTAACCACCTTTACTACATAATATATTCCTCATCTTAACTGTACACAACCATTACTGTAACCATCTTCACAACGCATTATCATCATTGTAACCATATTCATCCCACACGGCTTTCATTATTATAAGTCTACACTACACACGGCCATCATCATCATCATCACTCATTACTTGTTGGAAGCTTTGTCATGGGGCTTCGATTTTTCACCTTCCCCTACCCTTCATCACCTTCTCTACCCCCTCACCACCTTCCCCTACCCTTCATCACCTTCTCTACCCCCTCACCACCTTCCCTTACCCTTCATCACCTTCTCTACCCCTCACCATCTACCCCCTCACCACCTTCCCCTACCCTTCATCACCTTCTCTACCCCCTCACCACCTTCCCCTACCCTTCACCACCTTCTCTACCCTTCACCACCTTCTCTACCCTTCACCATCTTCCCTACCCCTTCACCACCTTCCCCTACCCTTCATCACCTTCCCCTACCCTTCACCACCTTCTCTACCCCTCACCACCTTCCCCTACCCTTCATCACCTTCCCTACCCTCTCACAGTTGCTAGCTTTTGTTATAAAGGAACAGTGAAGAAGCTGAAAAAAGCCTCATTTGTTTAACACAGTC